ACCGAGGCTCAGCTGTGTGCTTAGGACACCGTGCCCAGGCAGAGCCCGGTGTGCGGGGCGGTTTGGGGCACCCAGAGCCGTGCTGTGGGCGCAGGGCGAGGCGTGGAGGCCGTGCCTGCAATGTGCCACGTGTGTCAGTGTGCGCTGTTGGGTGGGGGAACCATGCTGCCCCGGAGCACCGTGCCTCCATGGCACGCTCAGCCGGTGGGCAGCGTCCCACAGCCTCCACACCACACCAGGTGCTGTCTCTCTTCTGAGATTACACCATTAAACTGGGCAATCCCCTTTGGTCGGGGCTGGCTGTGAGATTATGCCGAGCATCCCTTGGGGGGGGCTGCCAGCTGGCCCCCCGGGCAGCACAGCGCCGTTCGGAGCCCTTTCTCCCCTTTGTTTTGTTTCTCGTGTCGGTTTGTCACCGAGCACAACAGGACAAAGCTGCCTGCTGCTGTGCGGTGCTGGCACAAAGCTCCCATCCCATCCGTCCCAGGAGGAGCCCTGCTGCCTGGATGTAGGGCTTGGGGCACCCCAGCCCACCCGGTGTGGGACCCCGAGGGCAGTGCTGTGCGTCCCCTGCCTGGCCGGGGCTGAGCTGTACAATGGAAATAAGCCCTAAGTCCCAGCAATCCAATGAACCAAAAATACATGGAGGAATAAGCCGCCAATAAGCTTCCCCTGCCCTGCTCTGTGCCGGGCCAGGCTCTGACTCCCAGCACAGCCCCGTCCCACGGACCCGTGGTAAGCAGCCCCTGTTCCCATCCAGCAGCAGGATTCGGCCAGCAGCTCTGGCACCGGCAGCGACTCCTCTGTCTCTTCCCCTCATTTGAGTTTGTGCATGAAAAACACTGACCCAGAGCTGCCTTTGTTTTCTTTTCACAGATGAACGGGACAGAGTCCAAAAGAAAACCTTCACTAAATGGGTCAATAAACACTTGATGAAGGTAAGAGCTGCATGTTCTATTTCCAGGCAGGTTAAGTGTCTGTCTGTCTGTCTGTCTGTCTGTCCGTTCCAGCTCAGGACTGGCAGGTGAATACCTGCTTTACAATCTGGGAACTTTTGCATTGGTGCTGAGGTATAAATGCGTTCACACTCTGAGCAAAAATGGTTGCACTGGAATCGTGTTGGTGCCTTTGGAGGGCACTGTGACATCGCAGTGCAGCCCTGATGGCAACTTTCACCTCCTGCGTACCCGAGCCTTGCTGGGACTCACGGTGTGTGTGCAGCATGCAGCACCCCAATATGCAGCACCATTGCATGCTGCACCGTTGCATGCATCCCAATGTGCAGCACCCCACTGCACACAGCGGTGCTGCTGGCCCACAGCTCTTGGTTATGTTTTGTGTCATCCAAGCCTTCCTCTGGTAGGTGCAGATGTGCTGGGATGAACGTTGCACCACGAGGTGCTTTTCTTGTGTAACTGCCAAGTAATTTTTAAATTAATTCTCCTTTTGCAAAAGGAAGAAAAGTGCTTTGGGTATTAGGAGCACCACGGTGATGCTTTATGGGCAGTTTTGCAAATATCTGTGTCAGCCTTTCAGCTTCCTTCTGCAGCTCTCAGAGGAGGCAAAGTGGGCCCACTTGGTTTGGGCTGTGGGGACATCACCGGGGCTGAGTAATGCAGCAGGGCAGGGCTTATGAGGGGGTGGGTTTGGGGGGAGAGAGCAGGCATGGGGGCTTTGTGCTGGTGCACACAGGAGGAATCTTCTCTGCTCATCAGTGGGGCCATGTGGTGTTTTAGGAGATGTTGGGCAGTGCAGTTGGCTCAGCTGCTGCTGCTGCACTGAGCTCCGTGTGCTGCATTATGGGATGTCCTGGGGGAGGGGTGGGTTAATGGGGACCTGCTGGTGCATCTGAGGAAGGCAGCATCATCTGCCGGGTGGTTTTGGAAGCTGGAGGCTGCTTTCTGTAGTGATCCTCTTGGAACCACTTTAAATGCACACACTGGGGAGTGGTCTGCTTGCAAACACCCAGAGTGTCCCCTTCCCCCCTCCAGGTGCGCAAGCACATCAATGACCTCTATGAGGACCTGAGGGACGGCCACAACCTCGTCTCGCTGCTGGAGGTGCTGTCGGGCGTGAAGCTGGTGAGTGCAGAGCTGTACCCCCGCCTTCCCTCCTCCGGTGCCTCCACAGCCATTCCTTATACCATGGTTTTGTTTCCAAACGTGCATCAGTTTCTTTGGTTGTCATTTTGTTCATTTTTCTTTCAACCCCGCTCTCCTCCTGCTTTCCTGGATACTGCCAAGGCCATCAGTTTGGGGTGCCCTGCGCAGAGCCCTCTCTCTGTGGGGCATCTGCCCTCCTTCCCCAGACTCTGCTTTGTTTTGAAGTTGCTGGTGGCAGTGGCTTTGACAGGAGCTCGGTTCAGCCCAGCCCCACAGCCGATCTGCGCCCCGGAGCTGGCGTGCAGAGCTCTCTTCTCACTTCTCAAGCATCGCAGAACCCCCTTTTTCCTCCTCCTTCTCTGCAGACTGTCACACTACTGAGATGTAGTGGTGTAACAGCATTCCCTAAATAGGATCTGGGCAGAGTTCTTTAACTCGCTCCATCACCCTCCTGAGACGCCCGTGAGCTGCTGTGGGGCTGCAGAGTCAAATGAAGCTCTGGGACCCAGACGGCCTGCCTCTTCCTTTTGGCTTCAGAGCTGCAGGGGGCTGCCCCGTGTCCCATCCCTCACACCTCCTTGAGCCCTGGGGCCGGCGGTGTCCAGGAGAGGCAGTGAGGACCCTGGGGGTGCCCCTTTCTGCTGGGTTTTCCTTTCGCTGGATGTTGCATTTTGGTTTCCATTCTGTCTCCCTGTGTGTGTGTCCCCCTCCGTCGGTGCCCGTTAGCAAATAGAGCCGCCAGCTCAGAGGAGCCTCCGCCTGGTGAAAGCGCCGGCCTGGTGCCGTGCCAGCAGCGAGGAGCGGGAGGAGGAGGAAGATGATGATGAAGAAGTAGGTCAAGTCAGCCCAGAGCCGGCCCCGCAGTGCCAGCAGATAGCCCAGTGCAGTGCTGCGAGGCGCTGAGCTGCCCCTCACCACTGGGGTGTTCCGTACATCCCTGGTGCTGGCAGTGGAGGAGCGGAGCGCTGCCTGGGCTGTCTGCTTGCACGCGGGGCTGGAATGGGGTCTGCACGCTCCCACGGACCCCAGCTGGGTCCCTGCTCAGCCTGGAGTGCTGTCTGCTAACCCCACTGCATGGCACGCACGGGCACTGGGTGGCAGTGGGGCCGGATGGCCCCATGCATGTGGATGAGATGAGAGTGAAACCTAACGGGGCGCAACCATGCCTGCGGTGTACAGACAGACTCCCACCCCCTTGGCTAAGAAGATTGATTTCCCAGCCCTGTGCTCCTTGCGCAGTGTCCATGGGAGCTGTGGGTGCAGCCGCCCCCCGAGCTGTTCCTCCTGCAGTGCTGGCTCTGCCCCTGCAGCTCCATCCTTGGCCAGCACTCCTCTGTTGGGGCACCTCACTGCCCGGGGGTTCAAACGCAGCGCTGTGGCTCCTCCTGGGAGGAGCTGTGCCCACGCCTCGCCTCGGGCAGTCAGTTAGGGACTAGCAGTTGATCCCTGCTACAAAACCCCTGGGGCTGAGCTGGTTGTGCCCGATACTGGGAGCAGCTTGGAGCCTCATTGCAGGGACTTTCTGGGGTGCGGAGAGGCCTGGAGCACATCCCCAGCAGAGCATCTCTCGGGGTCTTCCCAGCTCTGTGTGCCGTGGGGGCTTTTCCCTCTTTCAGTGGGATTTCACATGGCCACGACTTTATTTGGCTTCAGAATGAGGAAAGAGCACACAGTGCATTGTGTGCACAGGGCACGGCTTGCAGGCGGCATGCGGGGCGTGCAGTGCAGTGCAGTGCAGTGCAGTGCAGAGCAATGCGGGCGCTGCATCCCCACGAGGCAGCTCTGCAGCCCCCACCTTTTTTTGCAGCCCCGCGAGAAGGGCCGGATGCGATTCCACAGACTGCAGAACGTGCAGATAGCGCTGGATTTCCTGAAGCAGCGGCAGGTAAGGCTGCAAGGGGAGGGTTGTTATGGTGGAGTTTCAGCTCTTGCAGCAGCAGCCCTGGGGGCTTTGTGCTCCCCTCTCATGGCTGTAGCAGCACTGGGTGTGCATCCCAGAGGCACAGAACCATCTGTAATGGTGCAAATAAATGGTTTCAAACTGAGGAGTTGTGGTGCTGCTGTTGTGCAGACGTTACTGGGTCACAGCAGCTCCTGCCCCTGTTGGGTGCTTCCCAGCTCTGCCTGTCTCTCCAGCCATGCACCCACTGCTGAACTGCACCAGTTTGTTCCAGAGCAGAGGTTTTTCTCTTTGCTGCTTGAGGGCATGGAATAAAGCTGCACACATGCCTGCCCCAGGGAGCAGCCCCCCTTCGTCCTCCAGCCCCTCATTTTGCTGGTGGCTGCAGGCAGTTTTTCCCCCCGGATTGAGCAGCTTTTTCCTCCATGCTGCTGGCCTGGTGGTGGGGTTTGCTGGGGGCAGCACCCCCCCTGGATCCGGCTCGATGCATGTCTGGTGCTCAGTGCTCTCCTGGCATTGCTGCTACAGAACCCTGAGAGCAAAGCAGCTATGAGGAAGCAGCTCTGAGCTGCATCTGCCAGGGCACAGACCTGGTGGGTGCTGGGTTATCCACCTTTGTTAGGGAAGACAGATGAGCACAGCTTGGTTCTGAACCCACAGGGAGTTAATAAAGCTCGGCCGTCCTCCTTTAACCATGCTCTGTGGTCTGTAGCTATTAAATTATGCATCAGCACTTGGGGCTTTGGGGACAGGGCACTTCTCCCCACAAACTGCAATGGAGCAGTTAAGTGCTGGGGAAGCACTGGAGCCGCAGCCCCAACACCTGGGGCACAGGGCTGGACCGTCCGGTTTGGGTTCCGTGGTGGTGGGGAGTTCTGACTGTTTGCTTCTTTGCCAGGTGAAACTGGTGAACATTCGCAACGATGACATTACAGATGGAAATCCCAAGCTCACCCTGGGGCTCATATGGACCATCATCCTCCACTTCCAGGTAGGCAGCAAACCCTTCCTTCCTTGCGGGGTGTGGGCTGCTCCCAGCACTCCGGTGTCAGTCTATGCACACACGTTCCGGGGTGATGCTGGAGCGCCGAGCGGGCGGGGGTTCACGTGCATGGCAGTGCCATGGAGACTGGTGCTGGAGAATAACTACTCCCTTGTCTCATCATTTACATAATTAAATTGTTGATGATGGGCTGTGTGCTGTGGCCTCGGCTTGGCACCGCGGTGGTTGGCAGTGGCTGTTTGCTCAGATGAATCCTCTTGAGAAGAGCAAGCGTGGGGTGGATGGTGGGGATGGGATGGATGTCATTAGGATGGCACATGTGGGCTGTGTGGCAGGGGGTTGGGATGGGGTGCGATGCTGTCTGACCCAGGCAGGGGTGTGCTTACGGTCGTCTCCAGCAGCTGGGTGCTACGGATGCAAAACAGACTCTTGGGTCTTTGATCACCTCAGGTTGTGCAGAGACAGCTTTGGTACTCTTGGGGAGGTGACATGTGGCCCCATTGATGTGCCAGGCTGGGGAGGACAGCGCTCAGCCCTGGGGTCCCGCTGCGCGCGCAGTGCCCAGGGAGCGGGGCTGGGCCTGGAGGTGGTGGCAGCCGTGAGCTGGTGGCTGTAGCCCAAAGGCCATCCCCGGTTCCCTGACGTGTCCTCAATGGCATTTTCCATGCGAGACGAGTGCCGGTTTGAGGCCCCTTAAGGAAGCTTTTCATTTCCAGAGGCTGAGCTGCAGCCCCCGGGGAGCCGCTGCCTTGGCCGCACAGTGGGGCCGTTGGTTCCTTCCAAAAACGTGACGGCTTTCGGGGTGAAGGCATCTCTGGCTGTGGACAGGGGCCAGGGCTGCCGCGTTCCCAGGACGTGGCTGCTGCCTGGTGCCCTTTCCGATGGCATTTCTAGGGGATGACAGCATCGCTGCTAATGGGGAGGAATGAGGACAATGCGAGGACGTTCCTGGGTGCTCCTGCTTGTCTGGAGCCACCTGCATGCCCTGTGCCAGAGTGGCCGCGTGGCTGTGATTGTGCCCTGTGTTACCAGGGAGGGTCTTTCTGGGGGGGGGGCGGAGGGGGAGGCAAATAGGGTGTGAGCCCCCAGTGGAGTGCTGTGGTATGGTGACCCTGGGGTCGAGTGGGGCTGTAGCACTGATGAGACCCGGTTCCATCTGCTGGGGGTGCTGGGAGCTGCCCATGCTCCCCTCGCCCCACTGCAGGCAGGCAGCCCTGAGCCTGCGCATGTCCTCCCTGCGCCAGCGGGATTTTCTCTGGGCTGTGGCTCCATTGTGAGCCTCTTAATCTCCCGTATCCTGGTGCTGCAGCCGGCGGCCCCGACAGCGAGCAGAGCGGTGCGGGGTGGAATGGTGGCAGTGCTGGGTGCTGTGATCTGGGTCGGTGCTGCCCCATGTTCTGAGGCTGGTGGTGTCTATGGGTCCCTTCTCACAGAGGGATGACTTGGGAGGTGGCTGTGGTTGGGCTTTGTCCCTCCATCTTTATCTTCTGCTTATTTGCTGTCTCATCCCTGCTGCTGGCACGTGGTCCCCAGTGCTGTGGGTGTCGTGTGCTCCTTGCAGCAGAACCGTGCCCAATGCAGGACGTGGGGCTGAGCCCAGCAGGGGCTGCAGTGCTCTCCGGGGGGGGGGCTGCTGTCGTATCCTGCTGATACCAAAGGCTGCTGTGTCCGTGGGGCTGCCCCGGCGCTGTCCCTCTGGGTGGGGGGTGGGCACGTGATGTGGGTTGTTGGGGCGATGGGGGTTTCAGTGCTGGGGGACACGATGAGAGCAGCCTTCCCAGAGTGCCCCGTGGGAGCTGGCAGCATTCTGCATCCCCGTGCCTATCCCCATCTGTGTGCGTGCAGAGTGGCTCTGACTCCTCCCTGCTTTTTCCCCATCTCTTTCCCACCCCTTCCTTTATGTACCTTTCCCAACCTTCCCATTTTCTTGTGGCTTTCTTTCCCTCCCTACCCCTCCCAGCCTCCCCTCCCCTTTCGCTGCTTTCTGTCTGGTTCCTGCTCTCTGTTTGTGTTGGCTGAGGGCAGTGCTCCAATTACCTCATATTTGGAGAGAGAAAGCCGCAGCCAATCCGCTCTCCGTCTGCTTTTAGGTCAAGTGATTTCTGAACTGCAGTGAGATGCTTTGAATGTGTCTCGCTGCAGCTCGGGCTGTAAGATGGCTGGCGGCAGCAGGCGGGTGTGCAGGGATGCCGGGGGCCGCCCGCAGCGCTGCGCGGTGCGAAACGTGCGCTGAGCCCATGAAGCTGACACTGGGATTTCTTTGGGAGCCGGAGAGCAGAGCAGCGGCGGCAGTGGTGGCGGCGTTCGCGGCGCTTTCGGCGCCGAGGAGATGGGGAATTCTCTGGGCTGTGTTAAAGAGCCGAAAGAAAAAGCTGCCGGGCTGGCTCCGCTGCCCCCCAAAAAAAGGGTTCGCTTCAAACGGAGGAGGAGGGGGAAGAAGAGAGCGGTGCCGGCGGTGGCCCCGCAGGAGGAGCTGCCGGCCATGGCGGTGCCCAGGGTGGATGAGAATCCGAAGTTGGAGGCAGCACCGCAGCACGAGGAGCCCAATGGGAGCCGGAACTCAGGGGGGGACCCCGGGCGCATCGTGCAGGTGAAGGAGAGGTTCCAGGGGGAGCTGCAGAAGGCACACCTGGTGCTGGAGCCGAGGGGTGCGCAGACGGCGGGGGATTCCCCTGAGGAGGGCACGACCGTCATCGCCCGCCTGCTGGAGAACCCTGCCGAGCAGGGCTGCGAGCGGGCTGTGAGCCGCCTGGTCCGGCTGCAGCGCAGCGGTACGGGCAGCACCAGGGCTGTACTGCTGCCACTGCCGGACGGCCCCGATGGGCTCTGGAAGCACCGCGCCGAGGGGTCCCCAGCCAGCCCTGTGTGCAGAGAGCAGCCGGCGCGGAGCTGGGAGCCGGCAGACAGCAGCACATGGGGGAGAGGGGGCAGCGGGGAGCCGAGCTCCAGTGCTGCATGGACCTCCACTGCGGAGCCGGGCACCGTTTCAGAACTGTCTACGCCGTCCCCCATGGTGGAGCAGATGGAAAATCCTGGTGTCGGGAAGTCCCCGCTGCTGCCGTCACCTGGTGCCGGGCAGGGCGATGTGCACAGGCTGCCGGTGTCCCACAGCGGGTCCTCTGCTGGCACTGCCTGCTGCTCCTCGGGGTACGGCAGTGAGCGGGCTGGGAGCACCGGCGCCGGTGGGACTGCGGCTTCTCCTGCCGAAGCTGTGCGCACCGCGCAGCGCCGGGCTCTGTTGGGCAGCTCCAGGCCGGCCAGAGGAACGGTCAGTGTCTGCGTGTGCCATCGTCCCTTGTTTGGAGTGGGGTGGGGGAGCCTGGTCCAGCAGAACCCCAGTGATTGTAGCTGCTGGGAATGGTCAGCACTGTGGGTGCTGCTGAGCTGTGCGCTGCAAGGCACAACCTGAGGTTGGGTGGGAAGCAGCGGGCAGAGATGCAGAGCCTCTTCCCCTCAAGCATCTCTGCTGGCTCTTGTTCATGTGGAGCTCGGGCAAGGAAAGTGGGCGCATGTGGGAAGCACCCCATCATGGTGGGGAGCAGCTCTCAGTGAGGTTGGTGGGTTTGGGACCACGGGTGCGTGGGCTCTTGATGTGATTGCATTTGCCACTGTGTTGTGTGCCAGGGGGTGAGCTGTGGTCTGGGTGCTCAAAACATGTCCCCTGGTTTGCTCTTGTGCTGTGCTCTGATGAAGGGAAGCAGCAGCCCGGTGTGGGGCTGAGAGCAGCATCCCTGTGCTCAGGGATGGGGTGCTGGGGCAGCCCTGCTAGTCAGTACAGGGTCTGGGGCTGCTCCAAGGGGCAGTTAGAGGTGACAGATGGCAGAGCATTGCTGGGAGAGAGCGTGGGCTATTTGCCCGTTCTGAGAAAGGTCTCCACGAGGAGGAGGTGATGCTGTGCTTGGCTTTGGAGCTGTTGCTGTTGCAGGTGGCTCATAGAGTGAATTCATGCTAGGGTTTGACCAAGCTGCTCACAGCCATGGGATGAGCAGTGCTGGGAAGGCTGGGCTGCACGCCCCATGCCTGTGCTGTGTTAGGGCTGGTGCCACTGCGATGGCCACCAGTTGCTTGGTGGAGGCTGATGCAGGAAGGGCCCACGAGGAGCTGCCTGGTGTTAGCATCTGCCTATTGCCTCCCTAAATCTCAGTCCTGACACTGAAGTAGGAAGAAAGGAGGGTGGAGCCGTGCCGCACCCTGCGCCTTTCCAGGCCCCCCCCAGGAGGGTCTCCTGCACAGCTGCGCTCGTGGGGGGACCCAGTAGGTGGGGATGGTGGAAGGGAAGGCACTACTGGGGCTGGCTGCAGCAAGGAGTGTCCCTGCTGGGCAGTAAGGCAGATCAGCCCCCTGCACGGGGGTCCCATGGGCTTGCTGAGGGTTCCTTCCATGCTGGGAGCAGGGCAGCCACCCAGTGCATCACCATCCCCGGCCCAAAGCCTTTGGGTCTGGAAGAGTTAACGGCGGCGCTGGCTGCACAAAGAGCGGTTCTGTGCATGACAGCGGATCAGGCTGGAGGGAGGTGAGCTGCAGCATACCAATGGCACGGCGCGGGCGGGGGGAGCCCTGCCATTCCTGCTGCCCAGGGCTTGGGGGATGCAGTGGTGGGGCGCTCTGGGGACAAACTGGACCTGGAGGGGCAGCAGGTGGGGTTGGTGCTGATGATCCTGGCATCGCTGGGAGGAGGAATGCTCAGGAAGCAGCTGGGTTGTGTTCTGCCAGCACCCAGAAAGTATGCACAGTTCACACCCTCCTCTTTGTCTGCCCCGTAATTAAGGCGAGGTAATTGTGCTAATTGGGGAGCTGGGAGGATGGGTGGGGAGCAAGCCGTGTCAATCAGAAATAGTCTGGCAAGGAGACACGTGCGTGTTGTCACATGCAAACCTGGGATCCACAGCCGGTGCTCTGCTCTTATGGAAGGGCATTGGTGGTGGTCAGTCCCTGCTGCAGGGCTGTGGTGGCACTGCCACCTGCACTGGGCATGGTGAGGGGGAACTGGGATGTGGCATTCCCATCCTGCCCTCTGCCACCAAAACCAGCTGGTGGCCCTGCTCTGAGCTGCTGTGCTGGCTGTGCTGGCGTGGGCCACCTCTGCTCCGATTGTCACTGAGCAGCACCTCTGGGCACAGCTCTGCCCCGAGGACTGGCACTGGTGAGCTTGTTGGTACTGCACCTGGAGCTGTGCTCTGCACAAACCACACCGCACACAGCACTGTCCCTGAGCTCACCACCTGAGCATCCCCTCTCCCTCGCAGCCACCAGGAGATTGCTCCTGCACTGCTGGGGGCAGCCAGCCCTGCTGCAGGAGCTGGGCGTCCTGGTGGAGCCTTCCCTGCATCACCCCCTGGTGTGCTCCTGCTTGCAGATCTCGGACATCTACATCAGTGGGGAGTCAGGGGACATGTCAGCCAAGGAGAAACTGCTGCTATGGACACAGAAAGTGACAGCGGGTTACATCGGGGTGAAGTGCACCAACTTCTCTTCGTGTTGGAGCGATGGGAAGATGTTCAATGCGCTCATCCACAGATATAGGTGGGTGAGAATTGTTGGTGGGTGGGAGGAAGGCTGGGAGCTTCCCGGGGGTCCCTGTCCATCTCTGTGGTGGTGGGTTGCAGTTGCTCGGGATGTGGGTGAGGTTTTCAGGGTCTCTTTTCCCTTGGAACCATCTGTGCTGAGGAGCCGAGGGCAGATGCTCCGAAAAAGCGATGGAGGCGTCAGCCTGCGGGTTGGGGCGAGGTTTAACGAGGTTGGGATGCTGTGCCCCGGTGTCAGGACTCTGACACGTGTCTCGCAGGCCGGATCTGGTGGACATGGAGCGGGTGCAGATCCAGAGTAACCGGGAGAACTTGGAGCAGGCCTTCGAGATTGCGGAGCGGCTGGGGGTGACGCGGCTGCTGGATGCTGAGGGTGAGCAGCTGCTGAGGGCAGTGCGGGGCAGAGCTGAGCGCCGTGTCTGCTCCGATCCCTCACAGCTTCTGCTCCCCCTCTGCAGACGTGGATGTTCCATCTCCGGATGAGAAGTCGGTGATAACTTACGTGTCTTCAATCTACGATGCCTTTCCCAAAGTCCCTGAGGGAGGAGAAGGGATCAGTGCCATCGTAAGCAATGCGGCTCGGCACCCAGACTCGGGAGGGGCCCGGAGGTCTTCCTTCAGCCCTTACAGGCTGGGAGCAGCTTGTGGGAGGAAGGAGCTTCCCCAGGTCCGGAGGGATGCGGGGATGTGGCAGTGCTGACTGCGGCGTGTTCTCCCCTGCAGGAGGTGGACTCGAGGTGGCTGGAGTACCAGACCCGCTTGGAGTCCCTCGTCTCCTGGATCAAGCAGCACACGATACTCATGTCGGATAAATCCTTCCCCCAGAACCCCGTAGAGCTGAAGGTGGGTCCTGGTGCGGTCCTTGCACACAGTGCTGTGTGGTGCTGTTCCCCAGGGTGGTTTCTGATGCAGCCTTTCTCATCACAGGCACTTTATAACCAATACATACACTTCAAAGAAACTGAAATCCCAGCGAGAGAGCAGGAGAAGGGAAGGATAGAGGAGCTCTACAAGCTGTTAGAGGTGAGGTTTGCCATGACCGTGCAGAGGCTTGCAGGTGGGAGTGCTGTGCTTTTAACAAGACTATGGTGTGCTCACTCCAGGTTTATTTTGGAACGGAGAAGTGGAAATAACCCTCGGGGCAAATAATTTAGCAAAGAGCACTGGGGGTGGAGGCAGACATTGCCTCACAGCCCCGCCTTCCTTGCCGCAGTTTGACCAGCTCAGGGAGGTGTGAGTTGCCATTTTGTTGGTGTTTTCTGCAGGTGTGGATTGAGTTTGGACGCCTCAAATTGCCGCAGGGGTACCACCCCAACGACGTGGAGGAGGAGTGGGGCAAGCTGATCATCGAGATGCTGGAGCGTGAGAAGCTCCTGCGGCCGGCGGTGGAGAGGTCGGTGCCCCTCTGTGCCCCGCAGGGACACCGCCGTGCCCAAAGGGGTGACCCAGTGCCTTTCTCATTTTCTCCCGTCCATCCCCTCAGGCTGGAACTGCTGCTACAAATCGCCAACAAAATCCAGAATGGCGCTCTGAGCTGTGAAGAAAAACTCACACTTGCAAAGAACACACTGCAAGCTGTGAGTGGGGGCTGACATTGTTATTTTCCCTTTTTCTGACTCTTCTTTCATGCCCATCTCTGTCCCTCCCACTTACTGTGGGGTGGTGAGTTCCGCTGGACAACTTTCCTTTCTTAGGATGTGGAGCCCATCCCAGTAGGGCTGTGGGGATGGCGGTGGGTACCAGCTGAGCTGGGGACAGACCGTGCAGGGCTGCTGGCCTGGGAGGTGGCTGTAGTTCTGGAAAAGCTTGTGACATCACGAGGCTTAAAAAACCACAAAAATCTGCTGTGTTTGTCTGGAAGAGAGGCAGAAAAGACTCAGCTGCAGACTGTAGCTACCTCTTAACTATGGAGTAGATTTCTGAAAAGGAAGTGTTTTGTTCTGGAAGATGGAGCTGCACAGAGGTGCGGGGTCTGGAAGCTGGCTGTTAAATCCAACCAAGAAGCGAGGTGCCATGTCAAGGACAGTCACTGCATGGGGCGTCTCTGTCAGTTTTAGGTTTGTCTGCAGGAGTTTTTTTGAAAAGCAACGTCCTGAGCGAGGTGTGAGTTCTAACAGACATAACCATAACTGAGCTTAGGGGTGAAGAGGTCCTTTTGGTGCTGGAGTCAGTGCTGGGTTTCTGTTCTCACTGCCCACGTGTCAGGGCTGGCGGAGCAGCCCTCAGTCTCACCCCTCTGCATGCAGGATGCTGCCCACCTGGAGGCCGGCCAGCCGGTGCAGTACGAGGCCGACGTCGTGGTGTACCTGCAGGAGTGCGAGGGGCTGCTCCGCCAGCTGCAGGTGGACGTGCAGATCCTCCGGGACGAGAATTACTACCAGCTGGAGGAGCTGGCGTTCAGGTGAGCGGGGCTGTGCGGGGAGGTGGGCTCGGGGTGCTGCATGTCGTCCCTGCTCCTCGTGTGTGCCAGGAGGCAGCGCAGCACCAGCCTCATCCACTCACTCCTCTGTTGCTCCTCCAGGATCATGCGGCTGCAGGACGAGCTGGTGACGCTGAGGCTCGAGTGCACCAACCTGTACAGAAAGGGCCACTTCTCCACGCTGGAGCTGGCGCCTGCACCCACCCTGAGCACCACGCAGCTGAAGGGCGAATCCCTGACCAAAGGGCTGCACACCTCATCTGCCTCCTGGTTCAGGAAGCCCATGACCAGGACAGAGCTGGTGGCCATCTCCTCCTCTGAGGACGAAGGCAGCCTGCGCTTCGTGTATGAGCTGCTGGCCTGGGTGGAGGAGATGCAGGTGAGCGCTGACTGCCTTCCTGCACACTGATGAGGGAGGACGTGTGGTTTTGTCTGGAGATGGTGGTTGTTTTGATGGCTCAGAGTTCCTGGGGAGCTTTTGTCTTGTTTTCTCTCATGTGATCCCAATTTTCATTGCATATTGGAGATGCTTTCAAAACTGCATGCAAATCTGCAGTGACCAGTCAGTCCCATGGGCTTGGGGCCCCCTGCCAGGGCTGCTGTGCCATCCATCACCTCCTTCGTTACCCAGGAGGTTCTCTTGGCCCTCTGAGTTGAGCCCCAGCCCAGAAGGGCTGACCTGGATTCTTGGCCTGTTGCAGATGAGGTTGGAGCGAGCTGAGTGGGGCAGCGACCTGCCCAGCGTGGAAACCCAGCTGGAGACACAGCGGCACATCCACAGCAGTGTGGAGGAGCTGGGCTCCAACGTCAAGGAGGCACGGCTGTACGAGGTATGGCAGCACCTGGGCTGTGTGCATGGGAGGGTGACAATGTCAGGATGTCCCGTCCTGTGGGTAGAGGTGCATGGGGCAGATGGGTTTTTAAGGACAGAGCTTCTGAATGTTGCTGGGCTGCTGCTGCTCTGAGCATCCTCTCTGCCCCTCTCACTCATGCAGAGCTGGGGAGATGGATTTGGAGATGGGGTTTTGAAGGATGCTGTCCTATATCAGATAACAGGAATGCTTTCATCCCTCAGGGTAAGATGTCTCAGAATTTCCGCGCTAGCTACACAGAGACGCTCGGCAAGCTGGAGACACAGTACTGCAAGCTGATGGTGAGTGGGTCTGTCTGCACCTCGAGCAATGCCTGATGTTGCAGGGAGCGCCTGCTGTGTCCTGGGCACACGGGTCGAGCATCCCAGTTCTGCTGCGAGGGCAGTGAGAGAGCAGCATCTCTCGAGGCTCAGCCCTGGCTCTCTGAGCTCACACAGGGATGGGTCACTTCGTTGTGTCCAGGAAACCTCGAGCTTCCGGCTGAGGCACCTGCAGAGCTTGCACGGCTTTGTGTCTCGGGCCACCGCCGAGCTGATATGGCTGAATGAGAAGGAGGAGGAGGAACTGGCCTATGACTGGAGTGACAACAACCCCAA